GAGTTAAGGTTAAGAGTTACCATAGCAACAGACCTGATGGTAATGTTCAATCATCACTGATATGCATGGATCTGTAATCACCAGCCGTCAGTGTTCCTCAGGAAGTGCGGTACGTAACGGTGGCTTGCTGTGAACACAACTGCGATGCGTATTCTCCTGATGCATTGTGTAGCATTAACAATGGAGAACGTGACCAGAGCACGGCCACAGCTGGAGTTAATAAGACGAGGTGTTGCTGGTGGTGGTGAGTCTCAGTCACTAAAAGGATGCTTTAATAGCAAAACACGCACACATACTGGTCCAAGGTCGGAGACATTAGAAAAAATAATCTATATGTTTGTACTGTGGAACTGCAGCTGTAAAGTCTAATTCACAGCGTCTTCAACGACACGGTCCTTTATTCATGTTCGTCTTCGTTTTATGGGTTTTTCTTTTTCTCCCCCCATTCTTTACATTTAATGCGCTGCTACTGGTGTGTTTACGAGAGCATCACGCCGCAACATGAACCAGGAAATAATCTTTTCTTTAACTACCTGTTTAGACAGTGCGGATGTGTCATTAAAGGTCCTGTTGTGTTTTTGTTTTTAAAGTTGCTCCATTAAGAGACACTGAAGGGAGTATAAAGAAGATATAAAAACTGCAGTAAGTGTGTGTCGGAGTACACATTTTAGGGTGATCCAAACTCTAACTGCCCCATGCTACTGTATGCTCTAAGAAATGGAAGCACCTGCCGACTGTGTGCAGTAAAACTAACAGCATATTTTTGTAAATAGTTTCTCGTCTGAAGAAGAATTGTACATTACCATCAAGTTACCTTGGTATTTGGTCTTTCAGATTCCAGGCCTCTCAACAAGGTGCACCGTCCTTGTACTATTGTGCCTGTTGCCCGCAGTGGTCATTGTAAGAAACCACATCAGATATTTGCTGATTCTACAGCTGCTTACCATGTTGGTACAACTGTTACAAGGCTGAAATTTAATATATTTCTAATTAGATTAGCTGTAGGTCTGCCCAGAGCTGCAGTCCAGGTCAGTAGTGCTGAGAACCACTGACATAAGGCCAGCAGTCCACGAGCTAATAAATACCATCGTCCTTGGTCAGGTTGTACAGATAATGTATGTTACAACATACCAGTGAAGATCAACTGTTGGCCCGCGGCCCAAATCTGGCCCATGACTAGATTCGGTGACACCTGCTATAAATATTATGTATTTCAATACTCTATACTGTTGTTAATATCTTATTTATTTGTGGCTATGTCAGAAAATCAGTTTTGTTTTTGTTTTTAGAAGAAGAAGAATGGACAATTTAAAGTATTAACAACACGCAGCTTCAAATCACACTGACTGATTCACAATCTAATTAAACAGTAGCTGAACATTGATCTTTTACTCCAAATATGCCAACACAATGCTACAATCCCATCTAATTAAACAGTAGCTGAATATTGATTTTGAACTTTTACTTCAAATATGCCAACACAATGCTACAATCCGAAGAAATAAAAAGGTGTCTGGAACTTTAAAACAAATACATGTTTCACTGTAATGTTTTCAGATGACAGGTTAGTCTCAACACACAGGATATCCTGAGGATTCCGAGGTCAGTGGACTAAGAGTTGAAATCCTGCGCGTTAATAATTAAACTGTGGATAATGTACAGTACAAGTCAACACAACCAGTCGGTAGTCATAACAACTGGAGGAGTGATTGATTTGTTGGAGTTGGACACGTTGACGTACGATATCAGTAATCATACTGTTTTTATCTTGATAGAATCCTGTGTGTAAAAGTTTGCGAACCAATGTTAGGCATATGTAACCTTAGCATTGAGCACAAATTGAGAAGAAAAAAGAAAAATTCAACAGAAATCTGACTTTGTAAATCGTACCAGTATTTTATTATATTTGTCACAAAATGACATTTTAATGTGTTTTGGAATATTCAGGTGGAAAACCTTATGACCAGCAGTGCAGCAAATGGACATAATATCCATTGATTTTTAAATAACGTCCCATTCAGATTGATCACCACTTGGAAAGCGAGCTACAAATGGCTTTGCTTTCAGGAGCGGGACGTGCACGCATGTTAGCGTATAAATAATTGATTTCTTTCTTTGCTTGCTTACTTTTGATGTGGAACGCAGTTCCCAACTGTGCCATAAAATGGTGCTTACGTTTCCTCACAAACATTTAGCCCTCGCCCCCTGCTGTGAATGAAGGCGGGGGGGGTGGGGGGAGGGGGCGAGACAGGAGAAGAGGACAGAGGCCACTGTAACTATTTGAAGATTGTGCCTATTGAAAACATAAGTAGTTTACAACATTAAAATGGTCGCAGCTGTGACGATTCTTTCAGGCGGTCCAACCCCCCCCCCCGGGCTTCACATTGTGGTTATGTTTTGTAGCTTCACAAACGGACAAAGATGGCCGAGAACAGCGGTACCAGCTATGAATTTCAAAACAGTCTCACACAGAACAGCAATTGCCTTCTTTAGACAATGATGCAGTGTTGTTCTGCAGCTGAGTTGCGCACATGGAGTTTTTTTTTTTTTTTCTCCAGAAGGACTTTGAGAACAGCTAAAACAAAACCCTTCTGGAATTGTTAATTAAGGCTTAAAGTGGTTAAAATTTGATGGTGTGCAAGAATGCAATTAACCACTTCTGATCAGCTTCCAACTCTTTAATTATGAGTCTCAGGCTGACAGGTCTTTTTGAACACAACCCTGAACACAGATAGCTGGATCTCTGTGCTCCCGGCGCGGGGGGGTGGGGGTGGGGGGACTGTCAGCTGCAGCACACAGGTCGGGACACCGGGTGGGCGTCAAATGATTCAGCTGCCTCTCCAAAATATTACGCGCTGGCCGGCATTTCTGTGACATTTTTGTCATATGTCTTAATGTGACCTGTTGTTTGGTTCTGATAAAAACAGATTTCCTCTAGTCAAGCCTCTTGGGAGACTGCCTTCTGCTCATTACAGCTGCAGCCAGCTCTCACATAAAAACAATGCCAGCACAGAAAAACAAAAGGAGAGGGAGCACAGAGGGGGACACAGGTGGGCTCTGCCAAGAACGGACTAATACAGCTCTCCCACCAAAAAAGACTGTTTTTAAAACGATCCAGGTTCATAATAATAATGACAGTGGTGCGTTCACAGACTTTCGTCCAGTTCTTCCATCCATGCTACGCAATTATTAACATATAAAGTCACATTAGAGAATTGATCAATTTGATCGGTTGACCTGTTTTCTGAACTCTTCTGCAGTTTAAATTTCTCTCCTCAATCACCAGGAGCATCGACAACGTTACGACACGTCACGATTTAAAGCCAAGGCTGAGATTTTCCATTTTTCTCTCATTCACTATTTTATGTGAATTGCTTTTCCCTTGGAAATTCTTACATGGTGCCAGCGTTTGGCCATTGAAAAAAGCCAGATTAAAAAATATCTGCTAAATATGGCTGATTTTGTTTGTTTGTTTGTTTCTGCCATTTCCCACACCATTTTCCCCCCCTTTTTTTAACGTAAAAAGTGTGACAAAAGCTGCAGGACCACATCATCACTGATGACAGCACGGTAGTCAATTAAAAACTGATCATTTAATATTTGAATATTCACTGAGGGTTTCAACAGCTGCGTGTCACAATGATGGATTCTGGACTCCAACAACCCAGACTTTCAGTTCCAGTTCATCGTCACCATTTCAAAGAACCTGATTCCTTGCAATCCGACAACACGATGCACGCACGTCGCCCATTTATTCTGATTATGAATGGAATTATTGAGCAATAAAAAGAACTAGTGACCAAAGTCAACACAACACAACAGCAGTGCCAGTCTTTGGAAGTGGAGATAAATATTTCCGGAGCAGATTCAAACAGAAGAAGCCTCTCTAATTTCATGGACTTGGCATCAGTACCATTCACTGTTATCTTGCCTTTGGCCACATGACGAGACCTGGTGTAAAAGAGCATGAGCTCCCCTCACAGTTAGTCAGTGGAACAACAATCAAAGCAACTTCAGGGAACACACACACATAACGGAAACTTTGTGCGACACACACACATACACACTCATAAACACGCACGCAGAACAGAACAAGCATGTACGTGCTGGATCAGAGCCACGTACAAGGCAAAGACGACCACGTCCACAGCAGCACAGCAGCGGCAGCTGACTGGCACCAAATCAGTCATGACGCACAGTGGCACGTCCATAAAACGGGATGTTAAAAAAATGATCACAGGAAAAATGGGTTTCACTTTGTCTCCATCAACAAACAATACCTCAGCTCAAACCACAGTCACTTCCTGTTAAGACTGACGGACGGGTTTGGAGATGAACTGATGTGGAAACAGACACCGGACTGGAGGCAGAGTTAGCCTGATTACTGATACTGATGCCAACGGCACCGGTGGTCTACAGGCCTGCCTGTGAGGAAGAAAGAAAAAAAAAAAAAACCTTTTTACTCTGAATGCACCATTCAGTGAAGACGCGGCAGGTCTGCGATGTGCAAAAAGCCCCAAATGTGCTCCCTCCAGCCGGTGTTTAAGGCTCCCCAGTGACCGCACACCTCTGGATGCTGCCTTCACACCGCGCTGGGACAATTAGGTGCAACCGAGCGCAAATAATCGAAAGGGGGGGAAACAACTCGTTTGAATAATAGTTTGCAGATGCTCGTGATCATACGGTAATGAAGCTGATTTTGGATTTTTGTTCTTTTTCTTCTTTTTTTTTTCTTTTTAAAGCCCCAGCGTCGACGGTGAGCCTGGCGCAGCGTGAAGGGACTTAAGGAGCGATTATTGCTGTTAAAAAAGGTGCCTTCACAGGGACGGAACGGTTGCCTCCATCCCGCAAAGGACACCGGGAGGATGTCCGTAACATGCTGACCAGGCGTTATGGCCATTATTATCATGGCACCCCCTATAAAAACCTAACCCAAAATAACCACTACCTACTTTAGATAGCATCAAATCAGTGGCATCAGTGCTTGGAGCCGCACTTACCTAAAACTGACTCTCCTCTCTTGGCTGTATCTGCGATCCGAGATGCGTTAGTTCTCTAGCCCACAACTTCTGCTGGAGCATATGTATCCAGTGCTCATGCTGGTGGCTCGGTGGGTGATTTTGGATTGCGGACGGTTCGGCAATCCTTTTCATGCTCAAGGGGAAAAAATCCGTCGTTTCGCCGCGGTCTGGGGCATTGGCGCGCAGAGGAATAAAGTGAAGTCCGTCAAGAGAGAGAGGATGGAAGATTTATGCCGACGTGGTTGAAAGTGTTCCTCGCTCTCTCTCTCTCTCTCTCTCTCTCTCTAGCTCGCTCGCTCACTCACTCTATCTATCTCTCTCTCTCTCCTCTTTTCACCAAATCAGTATAGTAGGAGCCGTTTGCGGCTGGAGAGGTGTGGGATGGATATCTAGGAAGGGAGGCCGGGATGCACAGACTGAGGGCGAGAAAATGGGAGGAGCAAAGAACAGAGGCTCATGTCGTGGAAGGACGGTCATGGTAAACAGTAAGGGGTGGGACGGGGCTGTACGAGGGGACCGAGTGTAGAGGGATGGATGAGTGGGTGAGGTGAGGTGAAGTGGGTGAGGATACAAAGGCCAGTCGTGACTGAGCCCGCAGCTGACAAGGCTCTCCTTCCCTAATGAGTGGAGGCGCCGTGGAGAAGATGTTATTGGCCAGAAGGATGTTTAGGACCTGACTCTAAACTCAGGCGGACAACAGGCCTTAAAGAGGCAGTGGGCTTCAAAATCACAGAAGGTTGCAGGTTCGACTCCACCAGCCACTAGGTGCCACTGAGGTGCACACTGAGACCCCACACACTGCTCCGTGAGCGCCCAGCTTGACCCCCTAAGGTGGTGGGTTAAGGGCAGAGGTCAGATGAAGTCAAATTTGGCTTTGGTCGCTGTCTGTGTGGATGGAACCGTTTTTAAGAACTTTTTTATTAAAGGAGTGGCGTCCTGATTTAGTTTTAGTTTAGTTTACATTTAATTCAAAAATCAGTATGACATCATCAATTCATTCACAGGTAATTAAAAAAAAATTCTGAACAGAAAAGTTTCTGTTTTGCAACCCACATGAAACACCTATCCAGCCCACAATACAGTAGATTAATGTTGGTCAATTCAGATGTCCTAATGTTATCCCCTGGATCATTTATATATAGGCTTTATATTTATTTATTTCATATTATTTTATTATATTGCACCAATATTCCAAGTCATTGTCCTTCAATGTGTAACTTTACAATAAACACAGATTGTATATATATATAGATAGATAGATAGATAGATAGATAGATAGATAGATAGATCTATATAGATATATAGATATAACTACAGTAAAAGTTGGGTACAGTTGAATTGTATACTGTTTTATTTTGCTAACTGTTTGTAGAAAATGAAGCTCGGAAACCGTTTTAATCCTAATATAACATTATTTGTGGGAATATTCTAAACCATGTTACCTCAGCCCTCTGCTGCTACTGAGCACAACAACATCTGCCTTCAGCTCCAACCCCCCCAACCCCCATCCCCCCCACCGGTAATCATTACAGCAAAGACTCTGCATGCAATTTTTTCATAATGAATTAAATAATCAATCACCTCCATCATAAATTGTAGCTTAATGAAGATCATTCTTTAATATGCTGCTTGATTTAGGATGTTGACTTTGAACCAATGCAGGCATCAATCCAGATTTTTTTTTTTTTTTTTTTACACCAAAGTCTGCAAATGCGCATTTTTTAAATTTTTTTAAATTTTTTGTAGATCTAGTGTTAACGATGTAACAAACGCAGTAGTTTCCGGGCCACAACCGTCAGACTCGCAGAACATGACAATGTTTTTGACACGTACAGTTGTTAGACGTGAATAGGTGGTGATTGTTAAACAGAGGACATAGAAAGGTGGTGGTTCAGACACAGATGAATCATCCACTAACATGCAAAGAACGTAGTGGGGCCAGAACTGTTCTCAATGAGGTTGGATGAACAAATGGTGCTATTACAGAGTCATTAGCCTGGACGTGATGGAGACACATGACAAGTCACTATTGCAATAGCAGATATATTATTCCCTGCAGATCAATGAAGTCATTAAATTCCATAATTATATGAAATTTAATTTAAGAGTTTCCTCCTGACTGTGTTCATCAGGATATTCTAAGAGTTACTGCATTTGGGGAACATTTCACATGCCTCCATAATTATAAAAGCACACTGTGTAACAGAACGTCACACACTTATGCAGATCCTATTTCTGAAAGTATTGCTGTACTTCCTAAAAAATATATCATTGAACTTATATCCCTGGTTATTTAATTTACATATAGACCTCATAAAAATGTACATTTTTTTACCCATTAACTAACTCCACATCAAAAACTGTCTCCCAGGGCTGCAGCATGCAACAGGGAAACCATCCATTAATTCTGTGCAGGATCACTGCCAAGGTCTCTGAGTCTGAGTCTGAGCCTGAGCCTGACAACATGTCAACAACTCAGCCACGTGCTGCGTTCAAGTGAGTCCGAGTCTGGGCTTTTTTGACAGAATCCACATTTCAAAAAAAGAACACGCACATCCAGACAATACGTACTGTATCGTACAGATACCAGCATCTGGGGCTGCAGTTATATCCACTGCATGGGATGGATATTTGTATGTATGGACCAATAGGGTTGCATTTATTTCCCAGTCAGTCATCTGTTTAGGTAACTGTGTCAATATTAAAGTCATTATAAATTTAAAAATATATATAGGTTACAGCAGTGTTTCCCAAATGTTTTTCTGGGGACCCATATTTTACGACCCAAGTCAATATTCGTAAACTCGAGGGAAACATGATGCAAGATGACCCAAAAAAAATGTCTTGAGACCCACCTGAGGGTCACGACCCAGTCTTTGGGAAAACAATGGTCTAGAGTACCCACCTTTGCATTTCACCCATCGACCCATTCCTAGGGGGCAGTGGGGGCTTTCAAAAGCACTTTGCCGGACTCGGGTGGGGCAAAAAAGTATTCGCCCTTTAAACCATCACGTTTGACTATTGATTGGATAAATTTCCGTTGCATGCGCACATCTTAGGTCAGCAATTGGCTGCACAGCTGCACTGACAGGGTGTTGTTTCTAGCTCACCAGAAGCTCTGAAAGTGCGAGCTGAGATTAAAACTATGAAAATATATATTTTATATATGACATGTTATGGAGGGGCAACTGAGCGCCCTCTATGGGAAAGCCATCACTGACAACAAAATAAATTTGTAGATGGAGAGTATAAACTGGACTGGACTGCAGGCCACAACAGTCCCCTTTGTTTTTTTATCGACTGCATCATGAAGAAAAGAGTAGTAGTAGTTAAGACAAAAGTACTAATTGGTCCTTTTTTCTGTTTGAGTAATTAAGTTTCAAATACATCTTTTTTTCACCTATAATTTTTTTTTTTTAAACTGAACAAAATAATAAGATACAGTAAAAAACTGTCCGCTAACCATTTGACATTTCTTGGGATCTTTACATGTGATTTCTTGTCTATTATGTGTCACCATCACCGTGATGTTAAACAGCCCACATTTAAGACCACCTAAATAGTTTCTGAGCAGGTTATTAATACGAGGCTGAGATCCGCTCTGTTCTGATTCTATACCTAACAGACAGGTCCGTTCAGGGACTGTGTGCCTCGGGCAAGGCAGACAGAATGGCAGCTTCTCAGACATATGAAGGTCTTATTAGTGAATTTGGACTCAAATCAAACTCCTCAAGTCTGGCTGGAATTAGGCTGCAAGATTATAGGAGTCTTTCCTCTGACAGCACACAACCTCGCCCTCTTAGAATCCTAAAATGTTGCCTAACTATTTTAGAAAAATGGATGAACACCTCTTAAAAAAAAGACAAGAAGACAAGATGCAAGAGTTTTCGCTCCACTCCTCCACCTTGCCGCCTTACTGCCAAAATTACTCCACAGCCCACAGCAAATCAGCATCGGAATGTGTCTGCAAATGTCAGCAGTGTTTTATTAAATGTTATATATTTTAAACTTTTTCACAGCAAAGTGTTTTTCTCTGGAATGCCACTAAGCGTACCTAAATCGTTTTTTAAATATATATATTTATTATTTATTGCGCGGTAATGCTCCTGTTCTGTTACCAGCTGGATTCTGGGTATTTGTATTTATATGTTGGTGGGTGTTTTTCTGCTTTCAGACATACAGTTAGGTATGTCCTAAAAAATATCTTTTTGATTTGAAATGTCTCACTTAACGTGAAAGCTTCTTTCCGTACCATCGTGGTTTTAGAAATTTTAACAAATCATTAACCTTTACAGATTAACTAACTAAATCAGCTAACAACTAACCACAGTTAACTAACGTTAAATCTGGTACAAGCAAAAAAATAAAAAAAGGCTTATATGGCCTTCAAACTCCTATGGCAAACCAGGAAGATAAATGACAAGTTAATAATCATTAGTTCTTTTACTTAATCCTTTTCAGGTTCACGGGTCGTTCTGTGAGGCAGGGGTACACCCCGGACCCTTCACCTGTCCATCACAGGGCCTCACACACCTGAACATTTAACCCGCCCCGGACCCTTCACCTGGGCCTCACACACCTGAACATTTAACCCTAATCCTGCACAACACCAAACCGCTGATCTTCTTACTGTAGGTCACTGCCTGTTGTTTGCTCAGAGAACAACCATATAATACTAACCTTTAAGGCCTTTCTTCAAGTATTTAAATGCAACACTTAGCTTTTTTTCCCACATTGTATAATAACTGACCTATATTTTACCGTGTCGTGATTTATTTTCCTAACTTTTCTTGTTATTCAGTACATGTGCCTGTAACCTAGTTACAGGTTTTAAGGGTTTGTGGAAACCACAGGAGTTAGTACAGTAGTAAGCAGTAAGTACTGCAAATATGGAAAAATAAAATTAAACCGAAAAAAAAAAGACTGCCTGCCTGATTAAGAACATGTTTTTACCACAAATTATGAAATTACAGAATCCCAGACAGAACTACAAACCCATTTCTAAAAACTTTCTGAAACCGACCTTTTTATGTGTGTTTTGCCCTAATTCACGTTTGGCTTCAATGGACTATATAAACTAAAACTATTCTCCTTAAAAAACTATAATAGGGGAAAAAAATGATACATGTTTATAGCCAATATTTTTTACGAGTTAATTAATTGTATTATATTGTTTACCAAACTAAAAGTCTGTGGGAATAAAAGTTTGAGTTCATTACCAAACTGTTCTACAAACTGTACCAACTTTTCCCAAAAAATATATAGTTAGCCTTGAAATG